CCTCACTGGGGGATTCTAGGCAGGGGCTCTACCACTGAGCCACACCCAAGCCCCTCATTGGAGGGTTCTAGGCAGGGGCTCTACTTCTGAGCCACACCCCAGCCCCTCTCTGGTGGATTCTGGGCAGGGGCTCTCCCATGGAGCTATCTTAAGCTTTTTCTTTCCTTCCTGTCTGTGCCTCCATGCTATGTGGTCCCCAACCCTGGGGTCTATCTCATTCACAGGGAGCTTCCTTGTTCCATCACAGGAAGCTGGCTGGCCCCAGAGCCTCAGGATTGGCCTGATTGTGGGGACTCAGGTTGTGTAGCTTTTGCTCTAGCAGAGAAAGTGGGTCTCAGTGCTAAGGCTTCGGCTTCTGCTCTGGCCACCGGAAGATCAGGAATGTCCCCAGTGTGGCATTTAGCTAAGAGCACTTAGAGCACATGCTCACACAGAAAGGCTCACACGCTGGTCGTGGCAGCCCCACATTGGAACAGCTCGTGCACACACACCTGGATTAACACCCGGGGATGTAACTGGAGTCTGGGTGCTCATCAAGGACCGTATTAACACACGGGCATGGCCTCCAACGTGGCACTGTTAGAAGGTGCCTTTTAGAGGTGGGGACCAGTAGGGCATCTTCTGGTCCAGACGGTGCCCTTTCAGAGGACAAGGGACTTCTACCCCTCTCTATTTTGTTCCTTCACTTCTTGACCACCATGAGTTGGTGGCTTGGCTTCACTGCAAGTCCTCATAGTGACCAGAAGCAACATGGTCAGGGGTGAAATAAGATCTCTGAAGCTGTGAACCAAATTAAACCTTTTCTCTTTACAAGTTTAGCCAGGCAGAGGTGGCGCACACCTTTAATCCCAGCACTCGGGAGACAGAGGCAGGCGGATCTCTGTGAGTTCAAGACCAGCCTGGTCTACAGAGCGAGTTCTAGGACACTTCTGTTATAAAGAAAAACCCTGTCTCAAGAAACAAACAAAAAGTATTGTGTACAGTCTCCTTACTACACTGGTTGACCTACAACATACTATGCAGACCAGGTTGGCTTTGAACTCAGAGATCTGCCCTCTTATTTATTTCATGTGTATATGTTTGTCTGCAGGCATGTCTATTTACCACATGCATGCCTGGTGCCCTCAGAGGTCAGAGGAGGACATCAGTAACCCAGGAACTAGAGCTACAGATGGTTGTGAACCCCCCTGTATGTAGCTGTGTTTGTTTGCTGTTTGTTTTTTACTATTTGGGGGGCCCACCACCCAGCTCCCAAATAAATACATTCTTTCTTATGAATGTCTAGCCTTAGCTTGACTTGTTTCTAGCCAGATTTTCTTAAATTATCCTGTCTACCTTTTGCCTCTGGGCTTTTACCTTTCTGTATTCTATGTCTTTCTTTACTTCTTACTCCATGGCTGGTGTGTGACGGGTGGCTGTCCCCTGGCATCCTTCTCTCCTCTTCTTGCTCCTCCCTCTTCTCTCTTCTCTGTTCATTCTCTCTGCCCACCAGCCCCACCTATTCCTTCCTCCCACCGAGCTACTGGATGTTCAGCTCTTTATTAGAACAATGAGGTGTTTTAGGCAGGCAAAGTAACAGCTTCACAGAGTTAAACAAATACATGAAAGAACGCAACACATCTCTGCATCATTAAACAAATATCTTGCCGCATAAAGGAATGTAATACATCTTCAAGCAATGTTGAAGGACCAATATTGCACACCGTAGGTTCTGGGAACCAAACTCCAGTCCTCTAGAAAAGTACCAGCTGCTCTTAAGTGCTGATGTATCATTCAGCTCCATCCCATCTTTTAAAGTTGAGCGTCTCAGGGATTTTGTTAGAGCAGCAGAGAGCTCATCTTACTGCTACACCGATACACCGGGGTTCTCTCTGCTCAGCAGATAAAGGAACGGACTATCCAAACAATGAGAATGTGGACACGTGGACAAGTCTAAAAATCCCTATGCAAAACAATAAAAGACAGACAAAACAATAGCACCTATAGCATGATTTCATTTATGTAAAATCCTGGAAAAGACAAGATTAACTAGCACCACAGAAATCATACTGGCAGCCATTGGAGGCTAAAGGAATTATAGCCAAGTGGCATGAGTGACGTTTCATGGGCAGTGGGATAGCCCAGGCTGTCCTGGAACTAGATGTGTAGACCAGGTTAGCCTGGAACTCACAGAGATCCACTTCCTTCTCTCTCTTGTGTGTTGGGATTAAAGGCATGTGTCACCACACCCGGCCAGGGAAATTCTGTCTTAACTTTGGTCATCACATGGGCACATGCATTTGTCAAAAAGCATCTAGATATATTTTTGTTTTGTTTTGTTTTGTTTGAGGCAGGACTGTGTAACAGTCCTGACTGTTCTGGGAACTCACTTTGTAGATCAGGCTGGTCTTGAACTCACTGAGATCCGCCTGCCTCTGCTTCCCAAGTGCTGGTATCAAAGGTATGTGCCACCATTGCCCGGCCACATCTGGATGCTTTTTAAATGAGTGTATTTATCAAGTGTTAATTATATCTTGATCAGAAACAAAACAATCAAGAATCCAGTCATTTTCTCTACACTTTAATTAACTACAACAGTGGGCCTCATGGGCCACTGTTCATGTGACAAAAAAACAAAACAAAATAAAAGCATTTGTCCAAGGAGGCTTATGTTAGCTTATAATTAGGAGGACTGGACTGGCGTGAAGTTCAGCTTGTAGGGTGCTGACTTAACACACACCTGGGAGTGAAGAAAATGGAACATGGTGGAGAATGCCCCAGAAGGTAGAGGCAGGATTGCAGGTAGGGAATTCACAAACAGCTCTGGGATACATGAGACCCCAAGAAAGAAAGAAAAAAAAACACAGAAAATTTATCATAAGTATCGTGAATCTAGTCCAGCTCATCACAGAAAAGGTTATTTTGGCTCACAGTCGCGAAAGCATTGGAAGTCATCACTGGCCTTGTTGGCTTGGGCCTTAAGTGACTCTGTGTGGGAAGCATGGGTGATACAAGCAAGATCTTCACACATGGCTGAGAACCAAACGAGGAACAAGAGCAGGCTAGGGACCAGAAGATCTTCTGCTAGGTTACGCAGCCTCCCAGTATAGCTGCTCCAGGGTCCCAAACCCCTCACTGGGGGATCCTAGGCAGGGCTCTAGCACTGAGCCACACTCCCAGCCCCTCACTGGGGGATTCTAGTTGTGTCTTCTGCTGCTATCCTCCAAGGTCTTTTTCACTTTATTTTGAGACAGAGTCGGATCTGGTAGCTCAGACTGGAATCCTAGTTCATCAGTACATCAGGCTGAACAGCTGACTACTAACAAACCCCCAGGGTAGCGCTGCTGCCGTGGTCTCAGATTCCTCCCGTAGTAGACCACTG